GGGGGGGGTGCTGGGGGGGCTCTTCCCTCAGGCAGGGGAAGGCGCTGTACTGCCAGAGGCCAGACCTCACCCGGCATGTTCCATGTGTCCGCCATCCCCTGAGCCTGCTGCCCCCAGCAAGCCCCTGGCCCGGGCTGGGGGCCCTCTCCAGAGAGCAGGGGCAGGAATGGGCTGGCCCCAGAGCCCAGCCGGGGGCAGGGCAGTAGACAGCCAGGCTGTGGTGTGTTCCTGAGCGCTCTGCCCGCTAACATGGGAGCAGCAAAGGCCAGGAGCCAGGGCAGAGCCCTGCACCTCCTGCGGGGGCTTGGGCTGATGTGGAAATCTGGCACAGAGCGCTGGGGGCCGAGGCGCAGGCCAGGCGAGCGTTGCGCTGTCTCTGCCGCAGCTGCAGGGGAAGCTGCTAGTGCCCGGCCCGTATCTGCAGCCCCCCACGTCCCTCCTTGCCCTGGAGGGGCCGCTGCCATGGGAGCACCCGCACGAGCCAGTCAGGCTGCAGGGACCGGCAGCGCCCCCTTGGCCCTAGCCCCAGGATCAGCCAGCCCCTCCCCGCGGGGCTCCTCTAGGGTGACCAGATGTCTCGATTGTATAGGGACAGTCCTGATACTGGGGCCTGTTCTCCACCCCCATCCCTCTGGTTCCCCCTTGGTCATCTGAGATGCCCCCAGCGCTGCCCGTCTGGCCACGGGACTCGACAAGCACAGTGGCCGTGCATGGGCAGCGCCAGGCTTGGCGGCTCCCCCGGCTGCCTTAGGGGCCACGCTGACCTAGGTCAGCTCTGCATCCCGGTGGCCAGCCCCTGAGCTCAGGCCAGGGTCCCAGTTGCAGGCTGACTTGCCTGTCCCAGAGCCGATGGGTCCGAGGGGCCCGCCTCCCGCAGGGCGCTCTGTGCTGCCTGGGCAGCAGGGAGCAGAACAGGCCTTTCCTGCCAGCTGGGTCCGGAGGCAGGTGAGAGCGCAGAGGAGCACGCTGGCACCACCAGCCTCGTCCCCGTTTCTCTGGAAGCCGCCGCAGAATCAAAGGGACCAAGACCTTGTCTGGGGCAGGCCTGACTTCCTAGCCAGGCCGGGAGAGCTGTGGGCTGCTTACTCCCGGAGCTCTTCGTCCCTTTGGCCCCCTGGCTGCGCCCAGGCGGAGGCTGCCCCACATTGCCGCTGCCTTTCTGCAGGCTGAGTCTGTGGGCACCAGAGCCTCGGGCCACGTCCCAGAGCTGCGCGCCGGCTCTCCCACGACCCGCCCTGAGTGGCCCTCGTGCCCCTGGCCTGGCGCTAGGAGGGACCCAGGAGCCAGGCGGAGGTCCTGGGGGATTGGTCACTTAGCAGGGAGGCTCTGCAAGGAAAGGCATGGCCAGAGGGCGTTGGGCTCCCGGGGCAGGCAGGCTGAGGGCTCCGTTCCGCCTGGGCTAGCTCCAAGAGGCCAGCAGGGACGCTTGCCAGCCCCGTGGCAGGAGGCTTTGGAAAAGACTTGCGCCGCCCAAC